ACTACGACTAGAAAGCATGATGGTAATAACCTCCCCTAGTTGATTAGCAGTATAGAAAGGCCATTGTAGATCCTCTTCTATGGTATGTCGTAAGGCTTGATACATATCAGAGTGAAGGAACTGAGTCCTACTCCTCTCCTGGGCTGAATACCTATCATAAAAAACTTATTATAATAATACCACTCTTCTTCCTACTACTACTACCAACTAAATGATGCATTATCCTCTATAAACTTCTTAACACCAGCATCATATACCAACTCCTTCTTAATATAAGGTAGGCCTTCAATAGCCGGCCCAAGATGGACCTACTACCACACTTACTACTACTACCCCTATGAGGAGGTATATGATGACTTGGAAGGCTTTAATCCAATCAGCAGCTGATAGGCCTTGTAACTCCTCCTCAGGTGTTGATACCAACCTTCTAACTCCAGCAATGTATGATGGACGACTGAATACCTCTTGCCCTTGTCGTGATAGTATGTATAGGAATGATATGAGTAATCTAAGGCATGATGATGATGAACATGATATAGGAGTATGATGATGATGATGTTGCCCACTTAGGGTTTGCAGTATGGCCATCATCATCATCATCATGTTGTTGCTCTATCAAGGCTGCCTCAATGATATCGATAAAGTGAGTTGAAGTATATCCGAGATCAGCTATAGGCATAGCAAATGATGCTAGATGAGCTCGCACCTCAGGAGGGTATCTATTAGTACTCTCAGCAAGGTAGTCTACTGCTGCTACTATCATCATTACGGTGGAGGACCATATGATGCCTTCAACATCCACTTATACCATGTTACTAGCTTTCTTAATAGAGGGCTATCATGTACACGCATTACTCTCAGTGACTGCGCCTATATAGGGATAATAAGGATAATAATAATAGTAGTAGTCCATACAAGATCGCCGATATGATCCATACTAGTTGAGGTAAGTCTAGCATTAATAATGGCATCAGTGATAGCTGTTATACATCGTGTTGAGTACCTATATCCTTATCACTACTACTCAGAGTAGGAGGATGAGGAGTGGTTACCAATCTAGTCTTGCCATTGCCTTTAAGGCTTGAGTCATATCCCTAACACTCAGTGTTGGTGATGTTGTTGATAATGTTGATAGTATTGACGATGATAACTGTGCTATAGGAGAATATCTATTACAATAACAACGATGATACTATCAATGCCAATACTACTACTACTACTACTACTACTACTACTACTACTACTACTACTACTACCTATTCAGTTGGCTTAGGTTAGGTAGGACATCCTTATTGTGTGATAATGTTGTTATAAATTGAATAAGGACCTTAGAGTCGGCATCATGTATAACAGGTACCAATACCTACTATAACCATCACTTAAACGACGTCGTGGTATTAATACTAATAATATTACTCTAATAGCCTCAGCCAGGATAGGGTCTTGGAATGTCCACTTCCTAGACACTTCATTACTGTTCTGTAATGATGCCTCTATAATTGTTATTATATCATCTGGACGTAGATCGTTACGTGTACCTAACAACTGTTATTATCACTACTATCACTACTACTATTACCATAAAGGCTATATTGATCGAATAGTATAGTAGCTAGTTTGGTAGTTGCACTATTATTGCTTTTAGTATAGAGGGACTGCCTCTTACTTTCCATAACGATAGAGGCAGCTAATAGCTGTACATCTAAGAATGATATTATAATAATACCATCTTTCCTACACTTCGTAATGATAGTAGTACATTGCTCGGTAGTCATCAATAATATGTTATTAGCCTTCGAGACAAAGTCATCAAGTACCTCGAGGACATCAAATGAATCCTGTAATACATCAGTATATCGGCAAGCACCTGATACCACACCTCAGTGAAAATACCCTTAATGCTACTATTACGTGCTATATCAGTACTCTTAA